CGTTGGCGGTGCTCTGGTCAGTATGGAAGTTAAGGAATGATTGTATTTTCAACAATGCCCAACCCAGCTTGGAGGAACTCTGTGAATTGATCAAAGTGAGAATTGCAATATGGGTCAAAGCATCATGCTCAGGTTTGCCCCTCTCAGTAAATGACATTATGTTTAATCTACATCAGATTAGACTTTGCTATAGGTGATATCTGTTAATTTATAATTCTGGGTTGGTCTGGGGTGGACTGCTGCTGGGGTCTGTTGATATCTGTTAATTTGGGTCTGGGGCGGACTGCTGCTGGGTGAGTAATGTTATGTTGTCCATTCTATTTTCTGCTCTAATTTGCTGCTGATATCTGTTAATTTGGGTTGGAGTGGACTGCCTGCAGAGTGTATTTGCCACTGTTATGCTGTCTGTTCTGTTGTTTCTTAAGGGCCTGTCGAGTAGTATGCTGTCTGTTCTGTTGTGAGTGTTGCTTCAGTCAAGGAGTTGTACTGATCTGGATCAATTTTGGTGGTCTGATTTGGGGTATGCTGTGCATCCTATTATGTGCTCTGTGCTGGCAGCAGTGTGGGTCTGTTCCTCTCTATTTTTTCTTTTTTCTTCTTTTCTCTTCCTTTGGTGGTCTGCATGGTAAAGTATAGCATCAGTCATGAAGGTGGACTGACCTAGATCAATTCTGGTGGGGTCTGCTATGTATGCTATGTCTTGGAGTATTCACAAGGCTACTGCTGATCTATTTGGTTTAGACTCAAGGCTCCATCTGGGGACATATTATCTGTTGGGTTTTTTTCACAAGGCTGCTGTTGATCTTTTTGGTGTTTTAACATAGCAGCACACTCAGCTGGTTAGTCTCTCTTAGAATTGGCTGATTGCTGAATGTTGCTGCTAATGGTTGGGTTGTTCAGGTGGCTGTTCTGCCTTGGTTGTGTTTTTTCTCTTCGTTGGTCCCTCACCAACTCTGGGGTGTTAGCAAATGATAGGATGATCTTTTTGGTGCCAACCTAGTTGGGATCAATTAGCTCATTGTGATGCGTTGCACTCCCATGCCCTTTATTGATGTATTTAGCTTGTTTCCTTGTACTTGTTTTTTCATCAATAAAGTTTCATTTTGCCGATCAAAAAAAAAAATATGAATTTAATGGATACATAAATGTTGTAGAGTTGATTCTTGCAATAACTAATAATGCAATCAATGTTCATATTGATTTTTTTTTATTATTTTTTTAATACAGCAACGTAGGCGTTTTCACTATTTCAGGCTAAATGGTACGCTTGTAAAAAAATATTTATTTTTAATTTAGAGTAATGCAAAAAATAATTAAATGGTTTAATTTGTTAAGGTCCAACCTATAATGAACATTTAATGCCAAAAGGAAAAGTATAGATCAAAATTAAATGTCAATATATTAAACAACTTGTAAACCATAGTTTAATTTTAAAATCATGCTAAGCATAAAACAAAAACTAAAAAAGAAATCTAGTGAAATGAGTTTTATTTCTGTAGTAAAAGGAAAATGTTGTTTCAACGGAGGTACGGTACGGCTTGGATATATACTAGGTACGTTTGGGTACGTCAAAAATTAAGAAGAAAAAACTTGGGTATGTGTTTCGTGTACCCGGTACGTATGTAAAAGTACCATACGAGGTACGGTACGCCGGTAAGCACTCGGTACGGGTACGACATGTTTTTTGAAGTACCCATGCTTCATAGGATTTCACAAATATTATTTTTAACGCTTAATGGTTTTAAATTATAGGAAAATGAGTAGTTTTTTTTTTTTAGTTTTGATATTTAATTTTAATTTGTAGGTTGGATCCTTTAACCATAATCATATTTTTAAAAAAAAAATATCGACGTACCGCAGCCGTACTCGTATCGTACTTTTTTTGAATTTTGCCGAATCAACATACCCGCACTCGTACTTGTACCGTACTCGTACCCTCACCCGTGCTTCCTTGCTAGGAGCTAATCCTAGAAGGAAGTCAACTTGGTAGTCAGTAGTTGATAAAGTGAGGAAAAAGTTGTCTCTTTGGAAGAGAAAATTGTTGTCGTTTGCAGAAAGGTTAACTTTGATTAAGTCAATTGTGTCTTGTCTACCATCTTTTTATATCTCAGTCTTTAAGATGCCTAAGGGAGTGGTGAAAACAATTGAGAGGTTGCAGGCATCGTTTTCAGGGGGTTGGAACGGGGATAGTTTGATTAGGAGGAAAGTTCATTTAGTAATATGACAGGAGTTAACTAAGTCTAAAAGCCAAGGAGGGTTAGGGATAAGAAACATTGCTGATATGAATGATTGAATGCTCTTAAAGTGGTGGTGGAGATATGGTGTTGAAGACAAGGCATTGTGGAAGGAAGTAGTATGCAGCATGTATGGAAGGGTGGGTGGAATTTGGTGGCCTGAGATACGGGAAGTAGGTAAAGTTTCTCCAATATGGTAGGGTATTCTTAATATTGCTAAGGAAAAACCTCAGTTGGTTGAGTTTTACTTGGATAATGTAAGAGTGAAGATTGGGAATGGGGACAGAACAAAATTCTGGACTGATAAATGGTGCAACAATAGAAAACTTTGTGAGGAATTCCTGAGACTGTTCTGCATATCAGAAGACAAGGAGGGTTCTATATTGCAGTATAGACAAAGAAGGGGAAGTTCAGGGGATTGGAATATGAGGTTCAGAAGACAGCTGAGAGCTTGGGAGGAAGAGGAGGTAAAAAGACTTCATGTGTGGTTGAATGAAGTCTCCTTTAAATAGTGGGCATCTGGATGATTGTCTGAGGTGGGAATTGAATTCATCAGGCCAGTTCACAGTGGCAGCAGTGTGGAAATGGTTCTAAGCAGCCATGGGGCCAGATTTGTGTATTACCAGATGGTTGTGGAAGACTGTGGCACCTCCAAAAATTCAGTTCTTTAGGTGGTTAGCTTGGAGGGGCAGAGTAAAAACAACAGCTTTCCCACAGAGAATTGGGGTATTGGATGGTAATGCTAACATTTTGTGTGTTTTCTGCAGAAAAGAAATTGAAACTGTCAACCATGTTTTGCTCCACTGTCCACTGATATAGGGAGTTTGGTCTGGAATTTTGAGCTGGTGGGATGTGCGTTGGGCAATCCCTGGTTCTGTTCAAGCCCTGCTACAGTGTTGGGCTGGTGCTAAATTTAAGAAGGAAATGTGTATATGGACGATTGTGCCATTAGTATTGTTGTAGTCAGTTTGGAAGTTGACGAATGATATTATGTTTAATGGGGGTCAGGCCAACTTTGCTGACTTGGAGGAAATTGTGAAGCTAAGGGTGGCTTTTTGGGTCAATAGTAGTGTAACAAGTTTGAATTATTCTTTAATTGAGTTTTTGTTCTACTTTAAGCACGTAAGGTTTTGTTTGTGATGGAATGGCTACGTGGTTGGTCTTATGCAGTAGGTTCTTGGATTCCTTTGTTTTGCTGTTTCGTTTGGTTGATTACTCACCAACTTTGTGGCATGCTAGCATATGATTGTGCTTGCTTATGGTGCCAACATAGTTGGGATTACATAGCCTAGCCATGATGCTCTTTCCGTCCACTTTCTTTATTGATGTATAACTTTGTCTTGTATATGTTTCACCATCAATAAAGATTCTTTTTACCGTTCAAATAAAAAAAAAAAATCAGCTCCCCTTTTATAGACCTCCCCCTTAGAACTAGATGCTTAAGAAAGTCATGTTGGCCAACTATATTAGGCCTATTTGGTTTCCAATACCAACGGTAGGTAACCAATAATGCTCTTCTTCTCTCTTATACTTTATTTAATTTATTAGAAAGTAATGGAATGAATATAATGATCACTCTTTTGGCTCTCTTATTGAATGATCATTCTTTTACAATAGTGAGGAATAATTTTATTTGAAATATATTTATTATTATTTTTTTAGTCAGCCAAACATTAGAATGAATATTTTAATAGAATGATCATTCTATTTCAATCTGTTCTAATAAACCAAACATTACCTTAAAGACATATCTACCTAATAAAAAATCTAGGGCTAATTATACCAATAGTTCTTGTACTTTAGTTTTCTATCATTTTAGTTTATATAATTAGCCCTAGATTTTAGTTTAGTTTATATAATTTCAATTGGCTCAATTTTGATGATTTTGTCTCAATTTGATTCAACTAATTACAACAGTTATCAATTTTTAATGGAAAATACGCACATAAGCAGCATGCGTTTTGTTTTTAGAGCAAAATTATAAATTTTCTTTACTCAGTAATCATTTTTCGTCAAAAACCTAATGATGTTTTCAATTAGACCAAATTGGCTCAAAATCTATAATTACTGATTAAAACTGAGTCAATTGAAAGTGTAAAGACTAAAATGACACAAAATGTAGAGACTATCAGTGTAATTTGTCTAAAAATCATTTGTGTAGTTTTAGATGTGCTATTCCAATCTCCTTTCTAAATGCATTGAGGAGAAATTTGCAAGTTGTTAGATTATGTGTAGAATTTAGAAATTTTGAATCAAAGAGGCCTTCCGGAGAGGGCTGATATATTTCACAATTATTTTTTTATTATTTTTTTTAAATTTAGACGTCTATTCATACTATATATTCTAGATATGTGTGTGCGAGGCTGAATTCCGCACAAATAGAATCAGAGCTCTGTGATCAAACAATGCACCGTAATTGTTGCCTAGCCGGGGGTTTGTTCAAACTCCGATGGCAAAGTTAGAGATATTCGAACCCTAATGCTCTGCATGGCCTTGCTTTTTCTTTTTTTTTTTTCCTTTCCTTTTCCAATCTCTATCCTTACTGTTGGAAGGGTTTCGAGGCAAGTTCTGCACAAATGGAATCGAAACTCCATGATATATTAGCTACAACTTTTTTTAAGTTGCTTATGCATTGAAATTTGTAGTAGTAAATTATGTCTATGTTCAGCTAAAAATAACTTGAAAGAACTAAAGATGTAATTAATTTCCTAACAAGAGAAAAAAAAATGATGGGTGAGAGATTTCCATACGTATCTTCCCTGACAGGACATGCTCTCTCTCTTCTGTCAACAAAGAGGAATTCTTGGCTTTCAGCTTCCGATTTTTCCTCACAGTGCAGTGCTGCTCTCCACGAGCTAATTGCAGAAAATCGCACTGCCATGAATGGAACTCAACCCGCGTCCAGTTCGCTAGACCACCACCAAATATGTTCACTGAACCGCATGGTCGAAGTTGGTGGACACTTGACGCTTGATCTTATGCAGGCTCTGAGTTCTGCATTTGGGTTCTTGTCTAGGGAAAAATCTAAGGAAGAAGAAGAGTGTTATGATGATTAGTTTAGTAGTGTTGTTCTGAGGGAAAAATCTTTGGGGGTGCTAACTGGTCGACTAATTTTTTGTGAGGGCAAAATCTAAGGAAGAAGGAGAGTGTTGTTCTGAGTTGTGGAGGTCCTTTGGTGCTCATGTAATTTGAAGTTTTCAAGAGTTTATTGGTTGTATTGTATTCGATAATTAGTTTAGCAGCGTGTATAAAGATATATTTTTTTTTTGGGGGAGTAAATTACACCATTGGTGTCTGTAGTGTCAATTTAAACAATTTAAACCTTACCGTTTTAGTTTTGTTGCAATGTAATTATTCTGTCATACACCGTTAATATTTTGAATACATGCAAAACTAGAAGGGGCTAAAGTGAAATTCAAAAGAGACTATATAGATTATTGGAATAATGAATAAATAGGTCAGCAATCTCTATAGTTTATCTTCAATTTTATTTTGACCTCTCTCATTTTTTATTTTGTTTTTTTTTGTTCAAAATTAAAACTAAAAGTGTCGTGTTCAAATTAAAACTAGAAGGATCAAAATAAAATTTTACTCAAACTAGAGAGACAAACAATGTAATTTTTTATTAGCAAGAAAGAGAATATATATTGATAGGAAATGGATAACAATTACAATGAACTAGGGGGGGAAAACTGCATCATTGTCCTAACACTACATCCTGATTAAGGCTGTAATTTACTTTTATTATTCCTTAGGCCCTGTTTGGGGATTTTGGTTTTTAGCCAAAAAGCAAAAAATTCACAAGTTGTTATACAAAATAAACATATAATTAGAATTTTATTAAATATAATACATAATTAAATAGTAGAGGGTCAAAATTGTCATTTTCGCATCTAATCCAAACAGTGATTAGTCCCCCCAAAACAATCCCACCCCCAGGACAGGATAGTCCCCCATATGGGGGACATGGAGTCCGGCTGGACATGGAGTCCGCCGGACTAAAAAAAAATCAAACGACGGATAAGGAGGGAGGCCGGATATAGAATCCAAATAGTGGATAGTCCCCCCCTTATCCCCCAATCAAACATATCCAAATTAAATTTTAATGGACATTCTATCAAATAAAATAGGTGATTTTTTAATCTTAAAACTAATAATACAAAATAAACATATAATTAGAATTATATATTTTCATATTTATTACAAAATAAATGTGGAGAATTATTCATCTCACTAATTTAGCTGAATAATTAACTAATTTTTTGAATTGTTAATCTTCCATTATCAATCTTTCTAATAAAACAGGCCTAAAAGTCTTTGGGCCTGCAGCCTAAAGATCAAACCAATGAAATTGACTGCTGGGGCTGGGCTTGATCATAAAATAAACAAATTTACATGTGGGGGGTTAGACCATGGCACAGACAATACTTACAAAGGGGGGGTTGGATTGGATCGAATATGTTACCATCACCATTTTTTTTTAATGACCATATTCAGACCAGTTTACGTGCATTTCTTATTTTGCCTCTTCCTGATAACATCTTTTATTTGTTAATTTTTAATTTTTGACTTTTTAGTTTAGTTTTTTTTTTTTAATGAAACTTTTTTTTAAAAAAAAATTAAGCTTTTGAGTTATATTCGACTAGATGGACCAAGAATTTTTTTTTTTTTTTTTTAAATTTTGGAAAAAAAAGGTCTAAAATAAAACTAAAAACAATTGGCTTTTTTTGGAATTTTTTTTTTCAAACTTTCTAGATTTGTCGAAAAGTAAAATTGACATAATTTTTTTATTTTTTATTTTTAAAAAGATCACTACAGATTAAAAAAAAAAGTTTAAAAAAAAAAATGACTTTTTTAGGAGAATGCGAAACACCGTACGGAAAAACTTGATATGTCAAGTTCTTAAATCTCGATTTTGGTTTGGAAATTAAGAAAATTACTTTCAAACTACATATTCGATTTTCAAATTTCCATAGAATATATCGTTTCTCTTTCCATTTTATTTTTTATTCTCCTCTAAGTTTGCAATTCGGTTTTGCAAGAAATTTGAATAGTCACCTATTAGGAAGAGTAGTGCTATTCAAACTTAAAAATTAGTTGACTTATCAAACATAATAATATGGTAATCTATTAGAATATCTTTGGGAATTCTCTGTTTTATATATTCTCTAATCATTAGTTAATCATATCTTTTACATATAATCTAATTTAGAAAATGAGTTTAGAAAATGAGTTTATATATCATTTTCTTATTGAGAAATGATGCAATGCAGGCTAAATGATTTTAACCCTTCTGAATCATAGTACAGAAAAACAGTATATAAATGTTTGGATTGACATTGATGGATTAACTTTGAAAGCCATGTTCAATTAGAACCAACCTAATAGTCAAAACTCACTATTTTATATTTTTAATCAAGGGTATGTCTCGTCCAGCCCAGTCCAAGTAGATCCGAATTACCTTGGATCGACGTTGATGGATTTACTTTGAAAGCCATGTTCAATTAGAAGCAACCAAAGAGTCAAAACTCACTGTTTTATAGTAGCTTTTTTTAATCTATGTATCTCTTGTCTAGCCCAGTTCAATTGGATCCAAATTATCTGATATCTAGACAATCAAGAACTGATTCTTGGAGATCTTGAAGTTAATAATTTGGCAAACTTTCAGTGGTCTATTAGAAGACTCAAACTCAAAACCTTAGATATTATTTTTTCGATTAATTTGTGTAGAAATTTTCATTTTGTTTGTCTTTTGTGAAGTTCTTTTCATGTTCAATTCTTTAGTATTTTAATTGGAGATTAACCTGAATATTTGTTATTTTTATAAATGGAAAAATTAGTAAAGCATTGCTCTCTAACTTTGAGTAGAAGGAGAGATCCATTATGTTTTTTTTTCCCTTATTAATTAAAATCCCTCAATAATATTAGGACAAATTACAATAATCCCTAAAGTTTAACATCCTTTTCATTTAAGTCCTTAATGTTTCAATTTTGTCGATTAAGTCCCTAAAGTATTAAATTCGAATCAATTTAATTTGGAAGACAATATAAAAACAAAACATAAGCCTAAAGGTTACATAAAATTGTAATTAGGTTAATTTATTGTTAACTTAATTATTCTCTACATGTGTAGTTTTATAATTGGAATATTTCTCCCAAATAGATTAAGTACAATTGCTTATATAGATCTTCTTCTATTTCTATTATACTATTATTTATTTTTTCTAATATGAAAATATCCATTTTATTTGATTTTTTTTGACTATTTCTAATATTATTTTATATTTATTTCATTATTTTTTTGTTCTACCATTATTTATAACGTGACTAGATTATAATTACTTACACCCATTTTTTTTTTATATATTTTTTTGGTGGTATCAATTCAAAAAATTTCTTTGGAGAGTTCCCCTATAAAAATAAGGATAATTATCTATATTATTTTCTACAATAGCTAACTGCTTACCTTTATCTAATAATAGATGTTGAACTTCATGCATTTTCTAAGTGACTGTTCTTAAGATTTTCGTTAAGTTATTTTAATAACTCGATTATAGTATTATTTTGTTCGATTATTATTTGTAGTGCTGTATAATTATTTAAATTATTTCATTCAAAATTTTCAATGTATCGAATGCTCATATATTAATTTTGACAAAAATGATAATCAAACTGTGATGTCTATTTAAAAATACATATGTGAAAGATAATTAAGTTAACAATAAATTAAAATTCGGGCCTCATACAACTTTTTTTTTTGATCAGCAAAAAGAATATTTATTGATGGAATCAAAGAATACATCAATAAAGAGGAGCTCGGGGCTACATTAAGCTCGGATCTCCAGTTGGAGAGAATCCAACACAAAGAGAAAACCAAAAAAAATAGAAACAAAACAACCAAAACTGCCACACTGGATCAACTTACAAACTAGCAGCATGCAGATCAGCAACAGAGCAAACTAGCAGCATACAAACTAGCATACAATTTGATATACCCTTTGGGCTTATGTTTTATTTTTATATTGTTTTCAAGACTAAATTGATTTGAATTTAATACTTTCTAGACTTAATTGACAAAATTGAAACTTTATGGACTTAAACGAAAAAAGTGTTAAACTTTAGAGATTATAGTTGTAATTTATCCATACTATTATTATTAGAGAAATTTCAACTCGTTACAGAAAAATTCACTGTAAAGAGGTGAAATTTCTTTGTGAAAAAAGAAATTTCCGTTTGAAGAAAAATTTCTCTATGAAAATATTGAGGGATTCTAACTAGTATGAAAATGTTGCATGTCGGTTATTATATAAAATTATAATATCAGAGACCTTATATTAAAAATTCCTTTATAAATTTCTTAATTTTTAGTTTAATTAACAAGGAATTACTTTTTAGAGTTTGTTCTTAGCAGAATGGAGATTTTTCATAGCTAACCTTAAGGACGCATTGTATGATAGTTACATTGGATCATGACCACCATTATTCTGGGTATAACGGTAAACACCTTAGCTTTGATTGGCAATAATTAAAAAAGTCACATATTTTTTTTTCTATTTTATTATTATTGTGTCTGAAAATTTACTTTTCATATATATCTTAGTCTAAAAGTATCTAAAAAGTATTATTAAAAAAAAAAAACCAAAATTTTAAGCTTTTTATTTATTCTTAGTGGATTTTTTTTCTTTCATTTTTTTTACTCGAACCTAAAAGTGAAATGCTTTTTAATTTTTTTTTCTTAAAGTTCATCGAAGTCGAAAAAAAATGACCAACAAAAAATTATTAAAAAAATAATTGTCAAATCCAACCTTAGTCATAACAAAAAAAACCACGATAGAATCCTAACAATTATCACTTTAAGACTAGCCAAACACCAAAAGAGTGGCAACTAATTTTTATTAAACAATCTGTTGGTCTCATCACTACAATACTCCATAATCAAACACCATAATGATTTATAATTAACACTAATTTAAATCATAATTAATATATAATATACCATCTAAAAAAAAAACACTAGCATATAATATCCACATTGTATATAATAGCATGATTCCTAAAAGTTTATCACAATCAACCTTTTGACTCCAAGCGTCAAAATAAATTTAGAAGCTCTTTAAAAATTATGAAAAAATTACTTTAAAAGTGTAAGGAAATTTAAACTTGGTTTGGTAATACAGACCACTCTCGATATTTATGGAATTTAGATATTTTAAATTGAATAATGCATGGGACCCCCTTTTGGGGGTCACCCCCTCACCCCCTTTGCCATGTGGCAGGTGGTGATTGAAGGAGCAGGAAAAAAAAGAAAAAGAAAAAGAAAATGTAACCAATGAGAGAGAGAGAGGGTCAAAGGGGGTGTGAGGAAAAGGGGGGATGAATCATTGTTGTTTTAAATTTTAAAAATTTTGCATTATATC